TCCTAAGTGCTAGAATTAAAGGCATGCATCACCCCCCACCTGGATCCTTTTGTGTGTGTGTGTGTGTGTGTGTGTGTGTGTATGTGTGTATTTTTTTTTCTTGTCTGTGCTTCATATATGATTCCTAGTCAGATAACAGACTCCTAAAGTCTAAAGGAAGGAATACCAAAGTTTTAGGTTATAATGAAAGAATTCCCACTTACTTTACTTTTTAAAGTCAGTTTTGCTGATCATCTGTTCATAGAATTCTGTTACTTTCTGTCATTCACGTGACTTACTGTTACATACTGCCACGTTTTATTCTTAAAATTGAGAAAATTTTCACATATGATAAAATGTAGATCTAGGTTTGCAATTTGACAGTTTTTTAAAAATGTACACTTCAGGTCTGGGGAGATGGCTTTTGGTGGTTAAGAACACTTTCATTCTTGCAGAGGACCAAGGTTGGTTCACCTATAGTGGCTTACAGCCATCCAAAACAGTCCCCTGGGATTTCAGTGCTGCCTCTGGTCTCCAAGGGCACTGTGTGCATATGGTGTATGGATATACATACACAAAACATAAACATACATAAAACACATCTAAAAATTAAAAATAAGCAGAAACCAATACTACCTCTCCCTATTCAAATACTGAATCAGCTAATGAACACGTGTGCAGCCTGATGCTCCTCTTCTCGGGGCAGGGCCTCCAGGCTGTGTTTGCTTTGACACTACAGAGTTGAGGGTAGCAGACCCATTATCACTTCCCTTCCATTCTTGCTTTCAGATGCTGGAATCTGTGTGCCACCAAAGATTGACCTGAGAGGCCTGTGGAAGCTGAGCCTGCTGGACTGACGGACCTGTGAAGAAGGCATCACTGGGAAGACCGTTTGCCCCCTCACTCCTCATTGTGCTTCTAGTTCTTGCTCCTCAGAGGCCTGGCTGTTGAGAACTGAGATATGGGATGGTCTGCCTTTGCACTGCCTACAGCTGCTGTGAGCACCAGACTTGGCACTAAGCAGTCTGGTTCTTATTTCAAGTACTGCCAGAACTTTGTTTTAGCCAACATATTACAGTTTGGTTTTTTTTAAATGCTATTTTTAGCTGGGCATGGTGGGGCATGCCTATAATCCCAGCAACACAAAAAGCTGAGGCAGAAAGTTCAAGATCAGTGTGGGATACAGCAAGGCCTTATCTCAGAGCGACCCAACCTGCTGTTGTTGTATTTAGTGCTCTTTGAGAACATGGCTACTAAAGCAAACAATCATGGACTTGATTTTCATTCATAGATCCAGGCCTAGTTTCTGTTGTAACCGTGGATAACGCTCATCATTGATTTGATCCTCAGTTTCTGTGTATATAGGGAGTGATGTTTCATTCTACCTCGAAAAAAAACAAAAAAAAAACAAAAAAAAAAAGTGGAGTTCCATTTCTGTGTTGTTTTGCATTGGTAACATAGTGTATTGTATAAAAACAGGCTGTTACTGCTGCCAACATTCAGTCAGATGTGATTGTGTAGCTGGCATTTTCCCACCCGACTCAAAGCAGAATAAAAAGTTAAATGTGTTTGGGGACTGGAGAGTTGACTCAGCACTTAAGAAAAATTATTGCGCTTGCAGAGGACCTGGGTCTGATCCCAGCACCCACATGGCAGTTCACAACTGTTCACTTCAGTTCCAAGGAATCTGATGCCCTCTTCTGACCTCAGTGAGCACCAGGCAAGCACATAGTACACAAATATACAGCCAAAACATACATACAAAGTAAATCTTAAAAATTTTTTTCTTAATTAACTGTGCCATTCAATCAGATTGTGCTCCCAGCTTTAATTGGTCTATAAGCCTCCTTGTGGTGTGAATGAAATAGACCTCCTGGGCTCTTCGGGAGAGGCACTATCAGGAGGTATGGCCTTGTTCGACTAGGTGTGGCCTTGGAGGGAGCTTTTCACTGGGGACAAGCTTTGTGGTTTAACAGATGCTTAAGCCAGGCCCAGCGTCTCACTGTCTGCCGATCTGGATGTAGAACTCTCCCAACTACCTCTCTAGTACAATCTCCGCCTGCGTGCCACCATGCTTCCTGTCATGATCATGTATCCCACCGTGGTGACAATGGACTGAACCTCTGAACTTTAAGTCAGTCCCAATTAAATGCTTTCCTTTTTGAGGGCAGCTGTGGTTCTGGTGTCTCTTCACAGCAATAGAAACCCTAACTGCCACCCTCCTCTACCTGCACTGTTACAGGGACTGCCTTATCACCAGTGTGTACTCTGCTAGAGTCATCGATGGTCGGGTGGGGTGGATTGGAATTCGCTGACACAGGTCCTGCACTTCAGTGTCGGGTAGACAGCAGGAATAGAATGGTAGCAGGGTTGGAGGTTACTCTTTGCTCTCCAGACCCTGTCTCCTTTACTGAGTGATTTTTGTCAGTGTCTAGGCAGACTAGTTTACTTTCTGTATGGTGTTTAACTGGCCTGTTTCATCCTGTTTCCAAAGGCTTGGAAGAATAGGACTTTTTTTTCTTTTTTTCAAGTCTAGAAATAGGTCAATTTATTTTAATTAGAGGCTTTTTAAAAAATTCTTCGACAGTTTCATACTCACTAGATAGTTGTCTTAAGAGACATCGTGACCATGGCAACTCTTATAAATTGAAGGGGGTTTGCTTACAGTTTCAGAGGTTCAGTCCATTAACATCATATGCAGGCAGACATGGTGCTGGAGCTGAGAATCCTATTTCTTGACACAGAGGCAACAGGACATCAGCTGATACACTGGGCAGTATCCTAAACATAGGAAACCTCAAAGCCTGCTCCCACAGTAACACACTTCCTCCAACAAGGCCACATCTCCTAATAGTGCCACTGCCTTTTTGGGCCATTTTCTTTCAAACCACACCAATGGTAGTACGTATTTCATCCCTGTTGTAACAAACTTGCAAAGTTACCCCCAGCTAACTGTTAGGTTTAGATGATGTCAGAAGTACTAAACTCACATGTTTTTGTGTGGAGCCTGTCTTTATCCACTGGGACAGGTGGATCCGGTGAGATCATTGGAAATGCTTTGTGAAAGAATGTGGTTCTATCAGCTTTCCATTGACATCTTAGTGTTTAGGCCTGGAGCTTCCTGGAGTTGAGCAAATGGCTCTTGGAGCCTCTGTATGGCAGAGATGCCTGTCCTCCAGATGCTCAGGGTGTAAGTGGGACTAAGAATCCCAGTAAGACTTGAAGGCTCTTGATTAAGAGCTCAAAGTCTCAGTTGTAGCTATTGGGAGCACTGTCTGGGGACCAGCTCCTGGGGCATGTATCTGCTTCCCATCAGCTGCGAGAAAGCCACTGGGCAGTATAGGGAAACTGATTGGGGTGGCTGGGGTGTCCAGCCTCATTCCGGTCCTGTGCTCACCACCACCACCACTGGTGATGCTGCAACCGCTGCTGCCGCCACATCTTAGGGACAGTGGTAGTCGTGGTCTCCAGGTGGCTCATTCCTCTCCCATGTTAAATGTTTGTCCAACCAACAGAAACACACAGACATATAGTAAAGACAACCGTGGGTGCCTACCACACATTCATACACCTGAATGGACCAGGGGAGTCCAGTGATGTCTCACATGGATTCCAGACCCTGGGTCCGCATCTGCAGCTGGCCTCTCCTTTATGTCCTAAACAGAAGGCACCTTAACCAGACTTACCTCTGGAGGTGACAGACCAGGTGACTTTCAATTTTGTTCCTTTTGGGGTATAGGTCTCATTTCTCCAAGATATTAGGCAGCAATTAATCAGAGGGGGTCCTGAGACCCTGGAACATCTCAGGTTGTATACCCTCTAGTTCTCCCTTGGCTACCACACTCCTTGCTCCAAGGGGCTCTGAGACCCCCCCAGTGTGTCGAGGTCTGGTTTCTGGGAATCTCGCTGGGGCCTTCAGAAATGTGAGGTATCCACTAGAGAAAACCACTTGTATGTGGATTCAAGCTAGAAAGTCTATTAGCTGGCAACTATGCTAGGTGTTTGGGACCCGAGTGTAGTCCTGAGCCTTTCTCAGGGTGAGCTTTTTTTAAAAAAAAAAAAATTATTTACTTTTTATATGCCAATCCTAGTCCCCCCTCCCCCCTCCTGCTCCTTCCCCCACCCTACCCTCCATCCACTCCTCAGAGAAGGTACAGCCTCTCCTGGGAAGTCAACTAAGTCTGTCCCTTCATCTCAAGGCCCCTCCTCCCCCTCCCCCGTGCCTAGGCTGAACAAGGTATCTCTCCATAGAGAATGGTCTCCTCCAAGTATATTAGAGTTAGATTCTGGACAGGATGTGCTTTTAAGCACAAAACTACATCCTGTGTTGACACAGCTCAGCAAGGACAGTCAGCTAGAAGGGGACTACAGAAGCCAATACAAGTTAGTACAGTTAGGGACTTTGCCAGAACTATGGACTTTTGTGGATTAGGTCTTTGTTCTGGTTTTGGCAGGTATTGCTGTCTGTGTACTGACTGGGTTTTGAGACCTGAATGGTACTTTATTGTAGCATCCATACGTAATGCTAAGGGAATAATGGTATAAGTCTTCAGCGGCCAGTAACCCTGGTGGCTTACTATGAACCAGTTTTGAGACATACTGGTGAGTAAAACAGAGGTACGGTTAAGACAGGGTAGTTAAAACAAGGTAGATTGCCAACATATTCTAAGTCTTCTGAGTTTGCTGTCAGGTGGGAAATACGGTGCTGCTTTGTGGGAGACTGAACTTATTCAGCATTCTGTGGGGGATTGTGGATGAGGCTCCCCTTGTATCCTTTAACATCATTTACTCTTAACCCGTTTTTTTTTTTTAACACATTTTTTCTTAAAAATGTTTTAACAACAGAGTAGTTCCTACAGCGGGAAGCATAACATTAGAACAAGTTTCTTCCAAGAGAAACTCAACAGTCAGCATAGTGCATGTCTGACTCTCATATCCCTGCTCCACTCCCAGATGTTTGTACCATTTAAGGCAATGACACATCTGTGTGGCTCTTACTCCGTCAGGAAATAGGCATGCTGTGAAGGGAAGGGGACACGAGGGGTCTTTAATGCTACAGGAATGAACATGCCAGCTCACACACCATATGTAGAAAGGTGTTCCCTCATGCAGTAAAGCTGACACACTGTCACCACAGCAGCCACGCTGCCATCAGTTCAGAAGCACCTTCTGTAGAGGAAGAAAGGCCCATGTTCCTCGTACTCAAAGCGGTGAACCCACAGTGGTTGGAAACCCTGGAGCGAGGCCAGGATAGAGCCACCAGTCCACACTGCGGTGTCTCTCTCAGGCAGAACATTGACCTGCGGGGTGTCATTGGGACACATGCTGCTCAGTTCCTTCTGCAGGCGGTTAGGGAAACCCCTGAGCATAGTGCTGCCCCCACAGAGCAGGATGTTCCCCATGAGGTCTCGCTTGAGTGCGATGTCACACTTGTTGAGGCAGGACACCGTCTGGGTGTGGAGGCCCAGCTGCATGGATTTGATCAGCGAGGGCTTGAAGAACATCTCTGAGCAGAGGAACCTCTCCTGGCCCAGATGGATCTCTTTGCCATCAGGCAGAGTGTATTGGATCTCATGTTCACTGGGAGGGATTTTCTTCTCTTCGATGGGGTCCAGGGCCACGAAGCAGCATTTTGTCTTGATGTCCTCCACAATCCTGGTCTGGTCCTCTGTGAAGTGTTTTCCAGAGTTGTTCATCAAACTCATCAGGTAGGCTGTCAGGTCAGATCCTGCATAGTCTAGCCGCCCCGTGATGCTAGGCAAAGGGTAACCCTCATAGATGGGTACCACATAGGACACGCCATGGCCAACCTCCACCACCAGCCCGGACGTGCGTCCGTACGAGTACATGGACAGGCGGGACTGGTAGGCGATGTGCATTGCAGGTGTGTTGAAGGTCTCAAACAACATCTCAGCATACTTCTCTCTGTTGGTGTGAGGGCTCAGGGGTGGGTCCGAGACCAGGACTGCATGCTCCTCGGGGCCGATCTTCATCTCTTGTCGAAAGAGGTATTCCCAGATGTCCTGTACTGTGTCCCAGTCCACGATGATGCCATGACGCAGGGGGTTGACCAGCTTGAGATGTATGTCTGGGTTAAGGAGCTCATGCCCCACAAAGGTCTCTTTGCGATTATCCCCAGTCTTGGCTGTCTCCATGTAGGGCTTGCCCACTGTTGTTGAGATCTTATGAGTGGGCTTTGGCAGGCCAGCAAAGCCACATTTACAGAAGCCGGTGCCAAGGTCCACGACCACTGCTTTGGTCACCTCTAACTTGGACCTGTCCTTGGGCGCGGTTGACTTCTCAGGGTCTTCTGTCTGAGCAGTCTCTCGACGGACCCATACTGCCCTCTTTGCTGGGCCATCCTTTAGGGAGGCAGTCTGGAGGACCTGTGTCTGCATGGAGGACTGGTTGGCAGCTTTCTTGACAGGCCCATCCCCCATGTCTGCTGCCTCTGGAGCCCACACGCTGTCCAGAGACATACTGCTCTCAGAAAGCTCCTGATCCTGCTGGGTACGAGGCCTGAAAGACCCAAATCAGAGGACAGTTTAAGAATCTACCCAACAGTGACATCACTGATTGTGACATAATCCAGCGACCAGAGACTGTCTAGATACTGGAGACCTTGTTTGTGTACATTAGAGATATTATCTTTTGTAGTGAAGCTTGATTAATTCATTCAGTTTATTTGTTGAGTGCCTGTAACATGCCATAATCCCACAGTGAAGAAGTAGCAACAGAGTCCTGCCCTTATCTGGTCCATATTCGAGTTGGTATGCGCTGGGGGGAAGGACACAAGATGTTTGTTGAACAAAATGATAAAATTTAGAAGTTTTTAGAGAAAAATCAGAGGACAGAGAGAGGGTGGCCGTGCTGATGGGGTTCAGGCAAAGGTTCCCTGAGCTGACAGCAGGTGTGTGAAGAGCTGCCGGGAGTGCAATTGGTGCAGAGGACTGAGTCACATGGCTGGGAAGTTAGTGAAGGGGCCAGCAGGATGCCGGATCCAGCCTGTGGTGGTATATGAATTTACCGTGGCAGCCGTACTCATTCACTTATGGATTGTCGGCGTCATTAAAAAGAAAACAAAAACACAAACAGTTGAATCAGCATCACAAAGACTGGGCCAAAAGCTGAGTGGAAATAAATGTGACTGTCCCCTTACGGAAGTTTGCTGAGCTTGACTGAAAGATACTGCAAGACTAATGTAACCAGGGGAAAGGGTCTGGAAATGTCGAGGGTGGGTGGGAGAAGGGAGGCTGGTGGTAGTGGAGGATCAACCAGTCCCATCAGGCCATTGGCCATTGCAGGAACTTCTAGGTGAGCAGGGCTAGAATGAACTAGAGAAATTTGAACAAATGGACACCATCTGAGTTTTTTTTTTTTTTTTTTTTTTACAAGGAGTTACTGCTGCTGTGAGGATTGGAAAGCCCTTCTGCCTAATTTGGGGGTCTAAGATAGATAACCTTACGAAGAATTAGTTTTGAACATAGACTTTCACTCCTTTATCAGGGTCACAGTGTGTGCATCGAAATAGGACCCGAATGAGTCCCACCAGTGGGAACATTAAGGCTCGAGTACACAGCTTCCCCAAGGATATCCAGTAGGAGTACACAGCCCCCCACCCTACATGGACTGCATACATGCCTTGACCCCTAAGATGCATTTCTGAGGCTGCTTGGCCATCTGTCTCTTCAGCGGGACATATCGATTCCTACCCACCACAGCGCAGAGGTGGTTAGGAGACCCAGTTAGTTGATGTTGGGTGAACTTTGGTTGAAGTATTATCCCTCTTAAACGCTGATTGCTCTTGGATTCTGAACCTCTCCACAAAGTGTAGAACCCAGAATCTAACCTTATGCATGCCTAATCTTTGATCTTCTCCTCGGCTCTATCCTAGATGTCAGACTCTGGTGATGGGATCCTTCCTTCGTGGAGGTGGTGGCAGATCCTCTTGGTCTTAGGGGTTAGAAGAAAGCGACAAAGTGCTGCTAGCTTTACTAGAGAATGCACCTGTGCTTGGGGAATGAAAGAGGAGGCCAGGCACAGGCCTTGGCTTTGTGTCTAAAACGGAAGCAGCGTCTGAGGTCTCTAGGAGACCTGGTTAATTGGTGTTAGATGGACGTCTATCACTCTCAAAAACTGCTCTTGAATTCTGAACGTCTGTGCAGCTCTGCCCAGCCCCCAAGATTCTGCAAAGTAACACAGGAAGAACCCCGGTGCTGTACCTGGTTTTCTCTATGGGCCCAAATTATCAGTGCCAAGAAGCAGAGGAGGACAGAAATGAATGGATCATCACTGAATGGCCAGACACGGAGATAGGAGGGGAACGGAGAGCACCGAGGCCCAGTGTGGTGGGATTCTAGAGCTTGCTGGTCAATAGCACTGTCCTGGAGCAAACCAGTTAGGAGGGTGTGTGGAGGGTGAAAAGAGCAAGCTCCCCCCAACTAAATGGACCATCCCTGGTGACATCACAACGCTAAGTGGTTGCCGAGGCACGGTTGGAGGTGGCCTCTCATTTCTCCCCAGGAGCTCTAGGGTGTGGATGTAAGAAGGTGAGGAAGGGAGGCAGATGGCGACAAAGAACAACCCTAGTCCTAAGCCCATGGGTACAGCCCAGGGCGACCCTGGAGAGGCAGGAACACTGCCAGCCCCTGAGGCTGGCATCCGGGACACAGGGTCCACTCAACTGAAGATGAAGCCCAAACAAATACGCAAGATCAAGGCGCTGGTCATTGACCTGGGCTCACAGTACTGTAAGTGCGGCTACGCGGGAGAGCAGAGGCCCACCTACTTCATCTCCTCTACGGTGGGCAAGCGCAGCGCTGAGATGGCAGCGGACGCTGGAGACACCTTCAAGGAGACATACGTGGGCCATGAGCTGCTCAACATGGAGGCATCTCTGAAGCTGGTTAACCCACTGAAGCACGGCGTCGTGGTGGACTGGGATTGTATCCAGAACATCTGGGAGTACATCTTCCACACCGCCATGAAGATCCTTCCGGAAGAGCACGCGGTGCTGGTTTCCGACCCTCCGCTCAGCCCCATCAACAACCGGGAAAAGTACGCGGAGCTCATGTTTGAGACCTTCCGCATCCCAGCCATGCACGTGACCTCCCAGGCGCTTCTGTCCATCTACTCATATGGCAAGACCTCCGGGCTGGTGGTCGAGAGCGGGCACGGCGTGTCGCATGTGGTGCCCATCTCCGAGGGGGACCTGCTGCCCGGCCTGCCCTGCCGTGCAGACTATGCCGGCTGCGACCTCACCAACTACCTCATGCAGCTGCTCAATGAGACAGGTCACCAGTTCTCGGATGACCACCTGCACATCATCGAACACATCAAGAAGAAGTGCTGCTACGCCGCGCTGCTGCCAGAGGAGGAGATGAGCCTGAGCCCCGAGGAGCTGCGCGTCGACTATGAGCTCCCGGACGGCAAGGTCATCACCGTCGGCCAGGAGCGCTTCCGCTGCTCCGAGATGCTCTTCAAGCCCTCCTTGGTGGGCTGCACCCAGCCGGGCCTCCCGGAGCTCACGGCTGACTGCCTGGGCCGCTGCCAGAACACTGGCTTCAAGGAGGAGATGGCTGCTAACGTGCTGCTGTGCGGTGGCTGTACCATGCTGGACGGCTTCCCTGAGCGTTTCCAGAGGGAGCTGAGTCTCCTCTGCCCCGGGGACAGCCCCACGGTGGCCGCTGCTCCCGAGAGGAAGACGTCAGTGTGGACCGGCGGCTCCATCCTGGCCTCGTTGCAGGCCTTCCAGCAGCTTTGGGTCAGCAAGGAAGAATTTGAAGAGCGGGGCTGCGCAGCCATCTACAGCAAATGCTAAAGGGGCGGGCCCCATCGGCAAGAGCTGGAGAGCAGAGCCCCACCCCCTGGGAGGGCGACTCTTTACCTTTACAGAATTTCACATTAAAGTTTAACCTATAACGGTCATGTCTGGTCTGGAGTTCGTGATCGAATCCGATAGCGGGTGGGGACAGGTTGAGTTTGGAGATAACAGCCCTCTTCTTAACTTGAGTGTCCGTAAGTGGGTCAGTCCAATCGTCAAAAGGGAGACATGCCTTCCCTGGGAGGCAAGATGGATGCTGGACTGTCTTAGAACTGCTGTGGCAACGTTTCTTTCCAGAAAGGAAGGCACATGCACACGTTAGCAACACCACATAAGCGCAAATACATATGAATATGCAAATACAGATGATAAAATTATAAAAGTGAGTAAATTATAAGATAGAAAAATATGGCATGCAAACTTTAAACACTCACTGGATGGGCCCAGACCCTTGGTAGAGGACAAAGTCAGGGAACTTGAGGGCAGATCAAGGTAATTTCACTAATAGAAATGGATATAGATAAAATTTCTTTTTTTAAATGAATGGGTGGGGAGAAGGTTCATCAGGTAAGGTGTTTGATGTCAAGCCTGACGACCCATGTTCAAGCCTCTGGACCTATAATGTGGACAGAGAGAACCAACTCCTGCAAGTTTCCCTTGGACCTTACCTACCCCACCCACTTTGCCATGTGTGTGCGTGCATTGCACAAACACACACACACACACACACACCACAAAAATATGGAAATAAATGGGAAGTAAAAAATAGAGTCCTATGGAACAGTACCAAGAAATTAACATTCTGGCCATCAAAATTACAATGAAAAAAGAGAAAAGGTGTAACCAATAGAAAGCTCAAAAAAATAATGGCTGAACCCCTGCCCCAAATTTGAGCAAGGATAAAAAGGTTCAAGAATGAATCCTGGCCAGGTCTGGTGGTGCGTACCTGTACTCCCAGCATGGAGGAGGCTGATCCAGGAGGATCAAAGATTGCTCCAAGTTCAAGGCCAGCCTAGTTCATATAGAGAGTGCCAGACCAGCCTGAGTTACAGAGGGATAAGACAAAAACAGAAAACAATTACAATAAAAAACAAAAATCAAAGAAGGGCAAAACAAACTGCTATTAACTGAACAAAACAACAACAAAACACACCGCAGTCAAACTAGACAAAGATGTTTAGAAAGCCGTTGAGGTCAATGCCTTGCTCCTAAAGGAATCCTGACTTGAAAGACAACAGTCTTCCCGGGGGAAACATGTCAGCCTGAAAAGTGTGACACAATCATTTTCTTTTTCGTTTTGGTTTCTTGAGACAGGGTTTCTCTGGGTAGCCCTGGCTGTCCCAGAACTCACGTTGTAGATCAGGCTGGCCTCAAACTCAGACATCTGCCTGCCTCTACCTCTGGAGGGCTGGAATTAAAGGCATGCACCACCGCACCCAGACAAATAACTTTCAAGAATGGAAAGGAAAAAAACCCTGTCAATCGTGAACTGTATGTCCAGAAAGGGTTAACATTAAAGGATGGCTAAAGAAAGTGTCTAAATCAGAAACAGATGATAATAGACGAAGGAACGAAGCTTCGGGGTGGAAGTTAGAAATGGAGAAACATGGACGACTATTTGATTTCTCTAGCAATATATATATATATATATATATATATATATATGAAATCTAACATGACTAAAATCTTGATTATTATTGATGATTTTCCATTAACAACCTATATTTCCTAATTATACATTACATTTTTAAATGAACTACACAATCACAATACCTTTATCAAGATCAGAAATACGTACACATATAACAAAATTTATACCAATGTAAATTATTCATATCTATATCCTATCCCCTTTAAATGTAAAAGAACATTTATAAACAATATTTGGGAACACGTACTTTAAGTGGAAGAGGTGTCCATAGCCCAAAACAAACAGGAGCTCCCAGATAGACAATTGTCTTCCTGCCTGTCTGCCTCAGAACTAGTCTCCATCTACCAGGAACGAATACTTAATCTAATGAAGTCTGGATATCTGGTCATTTACCCCAGCGGAGGGACAGTGGGTGTGTCAGCAAGCAAAGGAAGGATTAGGACATGATTTGGGAGAAGGGAGACATTTTGGTGAAATTTAGGTGGGATGGTGGTCCTTTGGTAGGTTGAGGTGGAGCAGGGTTGTGTGTCAGGTGGTAACATTAGGTATTATGGCAAAGCAGAGATGGTGTCTCACCCCTTAGAAGCTGCACATGAAGACATGGCTGCTGTAGGAGAGTTCCTTCTGTTTGTGTGTTGCTTTCATTGGACAATGAATATAGGAACTGCCTTGGCCTAGTTGATAGGACAAAACTTAGGTAGGTGGAGTAGACAGAACTGAATGCTGGGAAGAAGGGCAGAGTGGCAGATGCCATGGATCTCCTGCCTTAGACAGATGCTGGTTAGAATCTTGCCAGTAAGCCACAGTCATGTGGCGATACACAGATTAACAGAAATGGGTTAAATTAAGATGGAAGAATTAGCCAATAAGAAGTTAGAGCTAAAGGGCCAGGCAGTGTTTAGATGAATATAGTTTCTGTGTGATTATTTTGGGTAAAAGCTAGCCGAGCAGCCGGGATGACAAGCATCCCACCCCTCCTATTACACATAACTTATTAAGTCCATTAACAACACTTGCGCCTGGGGTGAAAACCCAGGCCTCTTCCCTTTGTCTAAGTGAATTAGACCTTGCAGCCAAGAGCTTGCTCTGAGAAGCTTCTAAAACCAGCATTCCTGGAAGAGGGGGTGGAAAGACTTTAGGAGTCAGAGGGAATGGAGGACACCAGGAGAACAAGGTCCTCTGAATCAACTAAGCAAGGTGCATCGGTGCTCATAAACCATGAAGCAGCAAGTACCCAGCCTACGTGGGTCAACACCAGGTCTGCTGCATATATACTATAGCTCTTAGTTTATGTGGGAATCCTGACTGAGAACAAGAGGGTCTCTGACTCCCGGGCTTGCTCTTGGGACTCTTTTTTTTTTTCCTCCAGTTGAGTTGCTGTGTCCAACTTCAATATAATAATTTTTTGGCTTTATCTTATTATATTAAAGGTGTCACAGAGGTGGGTGGGAGGATCTTTAAGTTAAAGTCTGAGGCCAGCCTGATCTACAAAGCTAGTTCCAGGATACCCAGGGCTAAACCGAGAAACCCTGTCTCAAAAAACAAGGCAAACAAACCAAACCACCCTACACCACTGTGTCCCTGTAACCCTGAATCCAAGAGATGGCTCAGTTGGTAAAGTGCTTGCCTTGCAAGCATGAAGATCACCTCAGAACTCATGCAAAAAAGTCAGGTGTAGTGGTACACTTATAAAGTCATCACCAAGAAGGCAGGGAGAGGTGGATCCGTGGGGCTTGCTGGCCAGCTGGCCTCTGTTTGTCTTAAACAAACAAGGTGGCTAGTTCCTGAAGAACAACCCCAAAGGCCATTCTCTGATCTCCACATGTCTGTGCACACACACATCACACATCTACACAAGGGACACACATACGGGGGGAGGGGAGCCCTAGCACTATATTCCTGATCAGCCACAATTTCAGATCACGGATTT